GCCGTATGTGTACCATGTTAATTGGGCCCCTGCGAGTGGGAGGTTCTGGAGGTCCTGTCTGGTCCCTGTTTCTTGCACCAAGATGTCCTGGCAACTGTAGATCACTTCTTCGTCTGTGGTTTCAAGCAGCAAGTTGGCCGGATTGAGGGTAACAGGAGGGCTAAATTGGATCCAGTCTGGGTTTAGCAAAAGGCTTTGGTAATGAGTTATTCTTGCATTAGACAGCCAGAGGTCTGGAGGCTGCCTGATTATACTTTCAAGGGCATGGGAGGCAACCACGGTCAACATTTGTCCCATAGTTAATTTATCAGCATCTTTATCCAGTAGGGCTACTGCAGCGATGCCTCTTAGGCAGCTTGGCCATCCCGTGGCTACTAGATCCAGTTTCTTGGATAGGTAGGCCACCTAGTTCTTCCAGGGACCCAAGGCTTGGGCCAACACTCCTTTAGCTATTCCTCCTCTCTCATTTACATATAGAAGAAAAGGTTTACTTACACCGGGCAGGGCCAAAGCAGGTGCAGTAAGGAGGGCCCTCTTAGTTTATCAAATGCCTGTTGTTGTTCAGCCCCCCAATGGAAGGGGGACCCTTCCTTTGTCAGGCAGTATAAGGGGGTAGCCAAGGAGGCAAACCCGGCTATCCATAGGCAGGCATAGGCGGGGAACCCAGCAACTCTCTTACCTCCCTTGGTGTCTTGGGAGGGGGAATCTGGGTTACAGTTTGCATGCGGGCCTCTGTGAACCATCTCTGGCCTTCCTTTAATAGACACCCCAGATAGGTTACTTGTTGCTGGCAGATTTGGGCCTTCTTGGCTGATGCACGATATCCCAATTGGGACAACTCCTGGAGCTGTTGCCGTGTGCCCTGTAGACAGTCATTTCGGGTTTCTCCTGCCTATAAGAGGTCATCTACATATTGTAGGAGGGTTATTTAGGGGTGGCTTGATCTGAAATAGACCAAGTCCCGATGGAGAGCCTCGTCAAACAAGGTTGGAGAATTCTTAAAACCTTGTGGCAGAGGAGTCCAAGTTTATTGGCCAGATATACTCTCATCTGGGTCTCTCCATTTAAAGGCGAAAATCAGCTGGCTGGCGGAGTGTAACCTTAAGCAGAAAAAGGCATCTTTAAGGTCTATAACAGTATACCAAGTCCTATCCAGAGGAAGGGAGCTCAGGAGGCTATACAGGTTGGGAACTGTTAGATGAATGTCCGGTACCCTCTTATTGACTTCTCTGAGGTCCTGGACAGGCTTTGTAACCTGTAGGAGGTGTGTGTTCCATGGTGACTGGCATGGCACGAGAATGCCCTGTTTGAGGAGGTGCTGGATATGTGGCCTGATTCCTTGTTGGGTCTCTTGGCTCATGGGGTACTGGCAGACCTTAATGGGGGTGGCAGTCATCTTAAGCTCTACGACGACTGGTGGTTGGGCCCAAGCCAGTCCCATCCCAGTGTTCTCTGCCCAGGCCTTTGGGATTTCTCAAAACCATTGTTGGGTATCTGGTGGCTGGTTTGGGCAGGTTTCCAACATCCTGTGTTCATCTTCTAATCTGAGTGGTAGGGTGGTTATGCCCTTGGTGTAGGTGACCTCAGGTCCTTTCAGCTTAAAGGCAATTTGTGCTCCTAATTTGGTCAACAGGTTCCTCCCCAGCAGTGGGGCAGGGCAGTCAGGGATGACCAGAAATGAGTGTGTTACCCAGCCCATTCCCAGATCTACTGTTCTTCCAGTAGTCCATGAATATTGCTTTTGCCCAGTGACCCCGATGACCCAAGATTTTTTAGAGGCTAGAGGCCCATTCTCATGTAGTAATACTGAGGGCTAGGTGACGGTATCCACCAGGAATTCAACAGGGCTCCCCTCCACATTGAGGGTTACCCTAGGCTCAGGGAGGGAATCCGAGCCCCACCTTCCCTAGTTATCTTCCCCAAGGGTCATAATCCTTTTGGGGGTCCCCTTCTTTTAGGGTTTTTGGGACACTCACGGGCCCAATGTCCTTCTTCTTTACAATAGGCACATTCATCTTTTCCCAGTGGGCGTCGGTTGCCCAGGGCTCCTGGCTGCCTGACATTTTCTCACTTTTACCTTTGACCACTGTGGTCTCCTACCACTGTGACCAAGATCCTAGTGAGGTTTTTCTCTTGTCTCTTTTCTCTCTTATTTTTGCGCTATTCCTGCTCTCCCTGCTTTCTCTCTTCCTTTTCTTCTTCTGTCTCTCTCTTGTAATAAACCTTTTCTGCTTCCTTAACTAGGTCTCTTAGTGTCAGGTCCTGTAGCCCTTCTAATCTTTGTAGTTTTTTCTTAATATCAGGGGCCGCTTGCCCTATGAAGGCCATGGCAAGAAACACCCTCTGATCCTCGGACGCAGGATCGAAGGGGGTGTACCGGCGGTAGGCCTCCATGAGCCTCTCCAAGAAAATGGAGGGGGCTTCTGTGGCTCCCTGAATCACTTCCCTTCCCTTTGTGAAATTGGTGGGGCATTTTGTGGCCCCTCAGAGACCAGCCACTAGGGCCTGGCGGTAGACTGTCAGTCGTTCCCTACCTTCAGCCATATTGAAATCCCAGTTGGGGCGATCGAGTGGGAACCAGCGTTGATGACATTATCCAGCCTAGAAGGGGTACCATCTGCCCCTGGTACATTTTTCCGAGTCTCTAGCAGGATCCTCTCCCGCTCTTCAGTAGTGAAGATGGTTTGGAGGAGCTGCTGGCAATCATCCCAGGTTGGCTGGTGGGAGATCATCAGGGATTCCACCAGTTTAATCAAGTTGGTGGGGTCCTCCGAGAAAGGGGGGGTGATTAGTCTTCCAATTATATAGATCTGCAGAGGAGAAGGGCCAATATTGAAGAGGTTGTAAGGGGACGTGTCCATCATATCCTGCCAGAAGTGGGGGGCCATAAGCTCTCAAGGGAAGAGTGACAGAAGTCTCTGATGAAACTCCCCTATGGCTGAGGGTTCCCAGTGCTGGTCTGGGACCGAATTCAGGGGAAGGGGAGCAGAGGGTCCTGGAGAGGCTGGGGAATGAGTGGGGGGCAGGGCAGGTGGGTAAGGGGGAGGAGGGTCCAGAAGGGGTAAGTCAGAGTGGGTGTCAGGATAAACCTTCTTGGGGGTAGTGGTCTTCTTGGCTGGTGGCTTGTCATCCTTTAGGGTGAGAACCTGGGAAGTGCATGGGTCCAACATCTGAATTACCCAAGGCTGTAGCCATGGAAGAGGGTTTTGGACCAAGCCCTGCCATACAACGATGTAGGCTTGTTGGTCCAGGTGTCCATAACGAGGAGTCTGAAAAATAACGGCCTTCACAACCTTATTAAGAGAAAGGTTAAAGAACCCTTCTGGCAGCATCCCTTGTTAAAGGACAGCCATTCCAAGGTGCAGAATGTCTGTCATTTTCATTTCTTCACTTCTATAGACTGCTCATGAGCTCGGTCCCTAACATCCATCCAGTGGTCCAAAGTCAAACTAAGAGGGGTGGATACCATTTGTCCCAACTGCCCCCCACTCATAAATACTAGAACCTTTAAAAATTAAAACAAATAAAATGGAGCCAACAAAACGGCTCAACAGGTAAAGATGTTTGTCAATGTTAAAGATCTCAATTTGATCCCCTGAGTTTGGTCCCTGGATCCTGATCCCTGTGGTGGAGGGAAAACCAACTCCTTCAGTTTGTCCTCTGATCTCCACATCATCACTGTGACTCCCACACCCACATAAAATAAATAAATGCATGAAAAAAACAAGAAAATATACCATAGGAATACTAACATAATGACCATATTTATTTTCATTGCTACATTAGAAATAAAAATAAAGTGTGAGAACCTGCAAAAGTCAACAAGTTGAGAATGATGACAAAGCAATGGAGTCACATATTATAGGTTAAAACTGGCTTCCATTATAAAAGGCACAAGGACTACATAAGAACCGTGGTTATTAGTGATGAGATTACTGTCCGTGTCTACTATCTGTAATTGTATGCATCAATGAGGAAGTTTAAAAACAAAGGGAATGCCTGGTACTGATTACAGCTTAACTGGGTACTGATTAACATTTAACTGTAAGGTATAGGTGAGAAACCATTCTCTAGAAACACATAGGTTTACAAAAAAAAAAAAAAAAAGCCTAAAACCAAGACTGTTAGTCCATGTTGAAGTTTACTTTTTCAAAAGAGATCATTTTATGATTTTTTGGTAAGCTCCTTCTCTTGCTGGATTGCTAGGAAAGAAAAATAGAAAAAAATCATTAGAAGGGATTTTCTTCTTTCTTTTTCTGGCTTTCTTAAAATTAATTTCAGTTTCTTCTAAAATGCTTCACTAAGTCACTGAGTTTTATGCTTATACTTATGCTTCAGTTTTATGCTTATACAACTAGGAAGTTAGATTTTTTCAGATGGTTTTTTTGAATTTTTGAGTTCCCAATTAAAGCTGACAAGACAAAAAGTGCCACTCAGCTTGAAAAGTGCACTTTCAGTTTCTGCAGCAGGCTGGTATTCTGAAGAGCAAACTGATCCTTTGCATTTAGGAAGCCTGAACACACACAAGCCTTTCACTTTACATCTATTTATAGAAGACCAAAACCACAGTTTGCATAATTTTTTATTGATGAGATCATAGATTCAAACTGTTGCAACCTGAAAAATATCTAATTAACATTTATAATAAAATTTAAAAACTGGGCAAAATTGAGACTGATATAGTACCACATCAAATATTCCAAGATTATCTTTAATGTAGCTTTAGTGATTTTGTAAGAAGAAATGAATTTATGATACCATTACTACTGTAACCTAGCATGAAAGCCACATGTATTATCGAAATAAAAAACTATTTGATATTTTAATTCCTGCATTCATGATAATAATTCTATAACTACTGCTTAAATTTTGGCAATAGAACATAGATTTGTTAACTGAATACATCAACTTTCACCACTGTTTCCCTTAACTAGGAACCTTCATGACTTACTTTCCTTTGATGGAAGAGTATTTTTTTCTTCGGTATTAGTTTTCTTCAGTTTTGATCTGTCAAACCTTTGCACTTCTGACAAGTCTGGTCTATCACTCATCTTGACTGAAAGAACAAAACGTTACCTACTATAACTGTGATCAGATTAAGAATAGGAGTTAAAAATTGAATATTTTTACTATCCATGAATATTTTTCATGGTGATTTTCAACAAGAAAACAACATATCTTAGAAAGTCATGTTTTCTTAGAGTACTCTGATTGCAAAGCATTAGTCCGTTTCTGGTGGCAGTATATGACAGCAGATGAAGATGCCATAGAAACCAAAATATTCTAGAAGCCCTGGGTGGGGTAGAAAAG